CGCAGTAATGATGATCAATGCACGCAAAGTGTCGTCAACCTGCCTATAGATTGTCAACGTGCCGCGTTTCCTATGACCGTCGGCCCTGTGAAACTTTGCCAGCTTCGCGCCCCCAGGATCTACAAGCTTCCACCCCGAACCCTCCCATCGACGACTGCCACTGGTACTGTCCATTATACTCAAACGACCACGTCACGGTTAGGACGTGGTTCAGTTTGCCTTCCACCGGTTCCGGCACCCAAGGTCCGCTTATTGTGCCCCGTGTTCGGATCGACCCCCTCATCTCCATCCGCGCCATCGGAAACAACTGCCCTGAGAAGCTGTCACGGTAGGATAAGATCCACCACCATCGTGTCCATTTGCTTGCAGAATGTACTGGGGCGGCTGGTTCCTTGGTTTCTTCTTTAGGTCGCCTACATAAACCACCGTATCCTTGACAGAGTCCTCACCCCCGAAAATACAACAGTTCCCATAGCCATCTTTTCTTACTAAAAAGCGTAACAAGAAAAAAAACACGGCCTTTTCAAATGAACCAAACAAGGGATAAAGCTGGCAACCTATTGATGTATATGTATTGATTTCTTATGTTTGCCTCCCCCTTTTTTTTTGCTAATAATTGTTTTTTTGCCAAGACCCCTAATCCTTTGCAGAGAACGTCCTAGTGGCTGTAGAAAATACATGGGGGTCACAGTTTTGCCAAAGTTGGCTCCATTACGTTCCTCTTTGGCTTACTCCACGCGCCCATCCCCTTTGTCTCGCATACCGCGTTGTACTTGAGCCGCCCCGCCGTAATACTGACCAGCCCGCCCAGCAGATCATTGTCGCTGATATCCCGTGGTCCTCCAACTCCCTCGACGAACCGTACCCAAGGCCATAAAAAGGGATCCTCGATGATGTTTTACAAGTGTAGCTTTGCTCCTCCAGAACCTCCAGAAATTGGACTAGTTCGGGGCTTCACTGTGGGCTCCCACCCAATAATCCCGTCGTTGACGATTGCAACTGACACGGTTGTGGCGCTGTACAGACAGTTGCTCAGCCTGTACTCGGTAGGATCAAAGCGGGGCCATGGGGCTTGGATTTGCACTCTGTCCAAGCAGCTTGCTTTTCTCAAATACCTGGCCCCTTCTTGTCCAGAACTCCTTTGTTGTTCACGCAGGACAGTGAAGGACACGTTACACTAGACTCGATAAAGGAAAACATGCAGGATATATCGTCATACAAGTCAGCATCAACAAACATGCGTAGCTCGTTGACAATAAGCGTGCAAATGCCCCGGCAATGGGTCTGGCAAATGCACCATGCCGGGGGTGACCGAATGTAATTGCCATTTTGCAACTAAGCGCGTGCGTTATTTGCGACCATGGATTCTCGACTGCACAATCCACAGGCAACCTGTCTCACTGACGCTTTGTTGGAAACACCGACAATAGGCTGGAAATTGCGACAGGCACACTAGCCTGATCCAAACGTGTATGGAGTGGAAGAGTTTACGATAGCGCCAATCCAGTGGACTCGTTTTGAAAAACAACGGATGCAGGACCCTCAGCATTACAAACAGCACCCAGGACCTCGGGCCCCAGTAAAAGCTCGTCGAGTCGTATTGTGCTAGCACCACATGCATATACGTAAACATGCTGTGCTGCGAATGAGCAAGCTTTATCAGCTCTAGCTTGTCAAGCTTGATCTGATGGATGCAATAGTCCTTGTTCAGTTTGTAATCGCTATTAACTGGGTGTTTGGCATCAAGGACACCTTGTAGGTGTTGATATACTGGGTCCGATAGCCGCCGCAGCCGCAGGTCCAGCCGCACCGAGATGATGCATTTGTTTACAAGCATATCCCCCAGCGAAGACTGTAACGATTTTAACAGCAGCCCGTACCTCGAATTGAAAGAGCTGTGGTACTCCGGCTCTTCTGGATGGAACAGCGTATGGTAGGTCCTAGCCAGTGCTTTATGTGTTTTGTACCACTTTGGTCCTCCGATATAGAAATGGATAGTGCGGAATGAGCCAGTTATAATGTAGGGCGGCGGGAACCCCAGCTCCAAGCACAGCAGCATCACGCGAATGCTGTGAAACGAAATCGAGTATAGTAGCTGGGCGGCAGAACACCTGTCAACAGTAAGGCAGCATGCGATCCGGGCATCGCACTGCTTGGGATTGATGTTCTGGATAGAGGTGCTCCCCATTTGCCGCCGGTTGGACCTCCCGTCCATCCGACGATCCTGGAGGACCAAGGTCATCTGCTTACCTGCCTTTGTCATCAGCAACCCGTAAATCCCGTACCGAATCCAATGGATATGCTCAAAGACAATGCGGTGACGCGCAAGGTCGGCAATCCGGTACTTGTGATGTGCACACGCAGCACTATGTCTCTCTAGAGGCGGAAGCGACAGAAAGATGCGTCTGCACACTGTTCCAAAAGAACGGGCATTTGACTTTACGGTATTGGTCAGCTCACTGCCAAAAACCAGGTGGTAGATGTAGACAATAAGCATCCCCAGCCACTGAAAGATCACGAACCGCCGGCCCACATGCGGCGAATACTGGATGGCCCGCACACCCAAGGCAAGCGTGCGTATTTCTGGGTAACGCGCAAGCCGGGCCAAGCGCAGAAACACATCGCCGTTGCCCTGCTCCCCCCCCCCCCACAACTGATTCCAAATCCACCGCGCTCAGGACATTTGGGCTCTCGCAACGGATAGGCTCCGTCTGGCCAAACTCTGCCTTCAGCCACTGCTTGATCCAGTAATTACTGGGCAAATGGGCAATGGTCTATACAGCAGCGGTCGCACGCGTAGAGCGTAAATCCCAAAATCCTCCTCGATGCTGTGGCGGAGCCAGTCCAGGAAGCGGGCCAGTCGCGGCCTGAATACATCGACGGGCAGCGGGCAGAATCTGGATGAATGCGGATATGGCGACGGGTCAACGCTATGCTTGTCGCTGAGCAGGTTCTATTTGGCTGATGTCCACCCCACCTGAACCGCCTTCGCCAGAGCCCTCCTGCGAGCCGCTTGATTCCTGGCCGCGGGCGCTGACACCCAATGCAGCCAAAGCAAGTAGCGTCTTCCAGACAATACAACGCGCACGGGTACTACTGCACACCGCCATTTGTCCCAATAGAGTAAATAAAGCGATCAAAAAGACAATGGAAATAGACAGGAAGAGACGTGTTTGCTTTGATAGCTTCCATCCACCCCAAGAGGGGCCACTCAGTACCTGTCGTCTGTTTGGACAGCTGCAAGGGATATTTATTTGCATGTGTGGATAGTATTGTGCATTTGCCTTCCAATACATGTGGAACACTGCCACTCGTTTGGCAAACAAGGGAAAAAGGATTGAATAGACACAATACACAAACAAAGGAGGGAGAGCTTTTCTAGCACGGAAAAAAAGGGACGTGGGCCTAGCCGTCCAGGTTCATACGACGATCGCCATTGGCATTGACGTAATACTCCTGGATCTGCTCCATGTCGCTACGCTTGCCCCGAGTCATTTCGATACGCGTCTTGAGCCCATACCCAAAGTTCGCCAAGCACGTGGACAGCTGATGGAGGGTGGCAGCAATGACCACCAAAGATACTATCGTGTAGTAGGTCATCATGGGCTTTTGGGTGGCATACTTTTCCTCCTGCTTGGGATCGTACATCCGCGCACACTTGAAGACAAAGTACGCCGTGCTGGCACACAAAAGCACAATCACCGTCCACAGGGCCCAGACCGACTCGCGCCGCAAACCCCAGAACGCCAAAGACAGGACCAACAAAGTGACAGGCACCAAGGCTATGGTGATGCCAAACTCGGGATCCGACGACCGCAGAATCAGGATAATGTAGGATACGGCAAAGCCCACAAACACGAAAAAGTCCATCTTCAGCAGCAACACCAGCAGACGGTAGTTGATAAACATGCGGCGGATCATCATGTCAGCGCCCACCCGCTTGTAAATCTCCCAGCCAAAGGCATGGTAGACAAAGTACGTCAACACAATAAACACCAGCGTCATGCCCGCCGTTACTGCGATGCTGCCAATCATCACCCCCCGAATCATGTCAAACACCAAGTCGCCCGCCACCACATCAACCTCCAACCACTCCCGCACCTGGAAGTACCGGAATATGGCCAGCGACATGGTAAACAGATTGAAGACGCAGAACCCGATGATCTGGATCGTGTCGCCGTTCAGCACCCCGCCCATCAACAGAAACACACCGTACAGAGCAGCTATTACCAACAACATAAAGTAGATGGCCACACCCTTGTCACTCGACCAGCTGCTGAACACGTTCTCCACGTACTTGAGCACCATGACCAGCACTGCGACCTCCAGGCCGATGACGGTCAGCGCCTGCAGCCCGGCCAGCCAGCACTGCAGCTTGGCCGCCAGCGGCATTTTGCGGAAACTCTCGCTGATTGCCATTTGCGAGACAAAAGAAGGCTAAAAGAACAAACCCGAATGCGGAAAAGGAAGGGATAAATGCTGGGCCAAGGAAAGAAGGGAAAAATACAGGAAAGAGAAAGACTGCTGCCCCCACCCCTTTTGGAAAAAGTCCCCCCCACTGGGCGGAAAAAGGCGAGTGGCCAAACACTGTGGCTCGGGCAACGCTGCTTGCTTCAAAGCCTGCCCATTAGCGTGCAAGCGTGCATGCACGCCGATTGGCCAGTTAATTTAGACAATCGCCACCATCTGATCTGTGCCGCCCGCTGATCCGTGCTGCCCACTGATCTGCAGTGCCGTGATTAGCTCCGGCGGCTCACTATCCCCAGAACACCCCCGGTCAAAGCACAGCTCCACGTGTCCCGGCTCTGCTGTTGTACATTCGCAGCGTGCCAGCATAGCCTTTTCAGCCAGGGACCCGGCACTAGTACTCTAGAGGGGGAGTGAGAGTATTGTGGTGCTCGGCTTCTCCCCCTCTCTCCTCCTCTCTCGCCAGAAAGGCCTGATGCCATTACTGGTACCAGTACTGGGGTACCAAGTGTTTAGCAGTAGCCAAAAGGAAACGTCAGTTACAGGATTCGAACCTGCGTGGGCACAACCCAGTAGATTTCGGGCCTACCGCCTTAACCACTCGGCCAAGCTGACATTCAAACGTCTAGAACCTGTGTTTCTGGATATAGTAGTAGCATGTCGGCAAAATGATACACACATGCCATGGTACCAGCATGTTGGGAGGGTGGGGACGGGTCTACTTGTATCATAGATACCGAAAACGGGAGCTAAAAGAGACCGGGGGCCGATTCCCAGGGGGTCAGGCAACCTGCATCCGGGGTGGCACGTGCCGGTGCCCCATTTTCCAACCCCGACGCAACCCTCCCACAAATCACATCCCCCAGGGCGACGTAGGCTAAAAATAAAAAACCGTGTGGGTCTCTTCCTTTTTGTACTTTTAAACCAGCATTCTTTTCTTTTTACAGCCTGCTGCCAAAAAGAAGAGCGGAAAAGGATGGACGCAATCAAGCTATACAGTTCTTCGGCAGAACGCGAAGTGTACGAGAACAAGGCAGCGCTGTACGCCATAATCGTATCGCTCGAGTACCTGGAACGTGCGTTTGCGCGGGACTCTGTGTCAGCCAGCGAATACACAGGCGAATGTAACAAACTGCTGGTACAGTACAAGACAGTATCGCAAATGGTTGATTCGCAGGAGCTACCGACGTTTGCGCAAAAGTATCGGCTCAACTGTCCAGCAGCCGCCCGGCGCCTGGAGGTAGGCATACCCAGTACGGTTGAGCATAGTACGGGTGGGGCAGGGGGTAATAATGCCAAGTATGTGGCCAAGGCCGTGCAGGACTTTATCACGACAATGGATGCGCTGAGTATGAACATGCGGTCGGTGGACAAGCTGCATCCGTTCCTGACGGATTTGCTGCAGAGCATTAATGCTGCCGCTTTTGTGCCGGCTGATTTCAGGTGGAAGAAGGAGTTTCGTGACTGGCTTATCAAGCTTAACCAGATGAAGGCCAGTGATGAGCTTGATGATAACCAGGTACGTCAGCTTATGTTTGAGGTTGAACAGGCCTTTAACGACTTTAAGGCCCTGCTCGATTCTAGCGAGTGACCAGGCTGAAGGACCCTCGTTTGTTCTTTCTGAGCTTATTCTGGGACATATTTGTGTCTGTCTCAATAAATGCACTCCATCTTTTCTGTCCAAACAAGCAGTCCTTACAAAACACCCCTCTCTTTCTATCCACATCCAAGATGTTGCCAATGTACCCCTTCCCCTGTGAAGCTCTTTTCTACAATGGTTGACATTGGACGCGGGGAGGTCTGGGGGAAAGGCGACGTTTGCAAATCAAAACCTGGTCTTCATCTCGGGGATAAAAAGGACAGCGGGAAATTTGGACCAGGAAAGGTGTGTTCCAAAGAAAAAAGGCCCGAGCTTCTTTATGTTGTGTGTTGGACCGTCCAGCCAAGACCGGCATGACAGGATCGACCTTGCAGGAACACGGTCTCAATTGCGCGCAATTCCACATCTGCAATGAGCTAGCCAATAGGAGCCGCCGCAGGTGGTGGAAAAGACGCGGTCCCGGTTTCATTGATCGGCAAAGTGCACAAATGCATTCCACGAGGAAAAAAAATACAACCAAATAAAAAACCCCGCCTGTTACTCCTCAAAAAAAAAAAAAACAACCCCCTTTTGCGTATATAAAGAGCACCCTGCTCCTTCCCAGTCGACAAGGAATTATCTTTACCACTCTCTTCGATTTACCCACCTGCATTTCCCTCTAATATATTTACAGCCGGTTCTGTAATCCTGCATCAACCACTAAACGATGAACGCCTTGGTGATCTTCTCCGTCCTTTTGGCCACCCTGCTCTGTGCACTGGAGGTCTCCGCCGCCCCTATTCCCCAGGATGTCGTGTCGTCCGATGAATCGGCTTACTCGACTTGGAGCTACGACAAGCTTGAATCCTTCTTGGACTCTTCGTACGAACCAGTCGACAGCTCCAGCGATACCTCGGAAAGTGCTTCGGACTCCTCGTACGAATCAGTTGACAGCTCCAGTGATACCTCGGAAAGTGCTTCGGACTCCGAAGACTCGCTGGTCGAGACTCCTGAGCCCACGCCCGAGCCCACGCCTGAGCCCACCCCGGAGCCAACCAACCCCGTGGAGCAGCCCAAGAAGACTGTCACTGTCAACCGGTGCCCCATGGTCTAGTCCCCCCCCTTTTTGTCAAACATCCCTCTGATACTTGACAGGATGCTTCTCCCTAATAAACAAAACCTGTCTGGTCCAGGTCCACACACACCCCCAATGCATCCATTGAGAGAAAGAAACCAAGATGTCAACAAACCAAAAGTGACAAAGAAAGGAACTGTGGACAGACACACCGCAGACTCGGAATAACATTGCGATAAGAATAGAATGTCAAAAATTGGATCAAAAGGCAGCAGTCAGGGTGTCCAGGAGCTTCTCCTTGAACGGCCGCGAGCCCCGCGGACTCGCCCCGGTGCCAGGTGCGCCCGGGGGCGGGTAGCAGGCCACCCAGGGCCCACCCACCCGATCAGCAGCCGCATCAAACGCCGACGGATGCTTGGGCCCAAAGTACAGTGCCAGGTTCCACGCATCGTCGCCGTCATCCCAGCGCCCAACCCCAATGACCTGCCGCTGCCGCCGGTTGCGACACGACCACTCGCCCACCACACACATCTGCGACTGATGCACATGCCACGGCCCACCCACATCCTCGCCATAGCGCGTCAAGGCCGCCGCCACCCGAAGCAACAACAAGGACTGGAGTTCCCGACGCAGCTGGTCATGGAACTCACCCAGGCCGCCCAACGGAACTACCCGGAAGACCCGGTTGATCAGCTGCTGCTGCACGCCCTGGGACCCCGACGGGTCGTCAGGCCGGGCATTGACAGGCGGCGGGTAGTAGCCCTTGATGAAATACAGCTGCCCTACAGAATCCAGCCAGAACGCCATCACCGTGCCGCCCTGGAACCGCAGCCGCACCACACACGCCAGATTCGGCGAGTATTCGCTGCCCTGTCGCATCTCCGCCGCCGCTACAAACCGCGGCACCGCATGGTTGCGCATCAGCTGGCTAATCACCTCGATCGGCTCGTCTACAATACGCTGCCACGCCGCACACGCCCGCCGCACGCCCGTCGCCAGGATATGCTGCCACCGCGCAAACTGCGCACACTGGAGCACCGGCGCCAGCACCAATGCCTCGTCCGCCGACAGCGCCGTACGCGCCGTCCCGTGACGAACCGCCTTGGCTGCCGACTGGACCCGCCGCTGGTGCATTGTGCCCAGGACCAGCGCAGAACCGGCTAGCAGGCGAGCCTGCCACTGCGCAAACGGCTCGGAGGCCTCTGCTTGGGAGTAACCCGGCTCCTCGGACTCGAGCGACCACTCGAACCGCTCAGCACGGCCGTTATCGCGGCTCAGCGTAGCCGCCAGGACGTCGCGCGTCGTGTCGCCACGGGTAGCCGACCGTACAGATCCCAGCTCACGCACCCGCGCCTCGCGGCACAGACGAGCGTATAGCTCGCGGTCGAATAGCACGCGGCGGGCGTCCTGCAACGTGGCATTCAGGGTGTCTGCCTCCGGGCTATGGTCGCTTTGGGTGTCTGGCTCGCCACTAGTGTCTGGCTCGCCATGGGCTTTCGCTTCCCTAGCCCGGCGGCACACATGCACAGTTGGGCCGCTAGCCGTGGTCAACCCTACACACAGCCGGCGGCGGTCCTGGCCCGTAGGCACGTACAAGCGCACGGCATCGTCGCTGTCGTCATCAGGGCGCAGCAGCTCGGCCACGGCGTCGCCATCGCCGTAGCGCACAAAGTAGCGGTCACCCGCCGCCCGCGGCACAAGCTGGCGATGGTGCAGAACCACCCAGTTGCGCGCCCGCACCGCAAAGGCCGCCCGCCAAAACCGACGCTCGCTGCGAGCAACCGCAGCCAGGCGCTCGTGGCTCCGCTGCAACGCCGCAGCGGCATCGCCCAGCTGGCGGTGCTTGGCGCCCAGCACAAAGCGCAGTTCGTCCTTACGGCGTTTCTGCTGCGCCAACCCGGCCGGGTCCACGCGCGCACTGCCCACAAGACCAACCGGGAACGGCACGCCGCCCACAGCCACCTCGTCCTGGGCCTCGCCCACCCGCGCCGCAAACCCAGTCACTTGCCGCTCGTCGCCATGCCGCGTCAACGCTGCCGTCTGGGCCGCACCAGCCTCACGCGCCGCCCGCTTGCGCGCGGCCAAAAGCAAGCGCACCATATCCAGGGCCACCTGCACCTCCGACTGCGCCAACGTCAGCTGCGAATGTATTTGCGCCTGCACGCCGTACGCGTCCAGCTCCTCGGGCGCCTCGTCGGCGCCTGCCGCTGCCGGGGAGGCTTCGTCGTCGCTGCCGTCCAGCCCGGCAAAGTTCTCGTGCTGTGCCCATAGCTGTCCGATCTGCCGCGCTATGGTCGCTTCGACGTCAGCCGCGGGCTCCAGCCTGACTGTGCCCGAGGCATCGATTTCGGCCACTGCCGGCTCTGGCGCCACGCTCTCCACCGCTGCCGTCACGGGTTCCATTGGCAGAAAGCTGCTGCAAATCCCAAATAGCCTCAAATAGAAAGAAGAACAGAAAAGCAGAAACACTTGAACCAAAAAAAGTCGCACCCTACCGAACCAACCAAAAAGCACTCCCCCCGAACCGAACCGTCTGTGGGCCAAACGCGCGTTCTCTCTACGCGCGCTTGCTGTACAACTTCCCTTATAACGCAACGCGTTTTTTTCCTTTACCTGCCTTGACCTCCCTTTCTTTTCGCTTGTGTGCATTTCCTTGGTCCTTTATTCCGCTGTATTTTGTTATCTTTTTTTTGGGCGTAAGGGGAGAAGAATGGTCTTTGTGCCCGGCTCGAGCTATGAACTGGCCTACCGCCGGCTAGTCGACAATTCAGGAGTGTCTGGCACAGTGCTGGTATTTGTGGCCATGGACGTCGATGCTCTGTGTGCACTGCGCATTCTGATTATGTTGCTGAAGCGAGACGCGGTTGCACACAAGATTATTCCTGTCCGCAGCTATGCCGAGATCGGCTCCCTGAGCCAAACGCTGGTGGCCGCCAATCCGCAGATCAAATCGGTCGTGCT